CTGGAGAGCAGGCAGGGAAATTCGAAACACAGACATGGATACTTTGTGGTTTCCTAGCCCCAGTTGCCTTTCAGTCCGCCTCCCACAACGCTGTCTAACCATTTGGATCTGACTTTTTCTGGAGATTGGCTCCGGCTAAACCAAAAAATGTTGAGCCTGTGCTTTGGTGTTACCTCTGAAAACATCGCCTTATGTATTACACTCTTGTAAAGCCAAAACGTGTAAAGGTCCCCCCGCCTCCCCCCAAGATCTTAAAAGATGAGCCACCAAACAGTTGAGCATTGTCCATGTGATTTATGACCCATTGCCTCCTTTTTAGGTTCAAGCAGAGTTCACAAGCAGTTGGTATTTCAGAAAAGAAATAAGGCTTTTTAACAGTTTTGCAGCGATACTCTCTCTTAAGATTCTGTATATGCTTTGGGGGAACTATATTTCACATGGTCTGTCTGCACAATGCTATGTTGTCATAACAGGATGCCACAGTGTTACTGAAAGTATAAATGATCAAGATAGAAAATTATGAATGGAGTTGATTATTTAAAAAAAATACATTATGAAATACACTTAAGCTGTGGCTAACCTCCTCTGGAGCATCATACTTTCTCACCACACATCAGAAGCTCACGATTTTTCAAACACGTTAGACCTCTGTTTGTTGGTTTCTTCGGGGAGGAGACAGCTAATTTTTCTCCCCCTGCCAGTTTCCCACAGTCTCTCCATGCTGGTGTTGAGCAGAGAAAAGAGCCCTTCTGGTTAAGCTGTATTTCAGATAAACTGACAAGATAAAGAATTTAAAGTCACCTCGAATTGGAGTTGCCTTGGCTTAGAATATAAACTGGGCTGAATTTTAGAAAGAAGACCAGTGCTATTTAGTCATGCAAATTACCACCGGGGAAGAGCAGGCGAATACATTTGACATAACGTATTACCACAGCGTTGTATAAATATTGACTGAAGAATGACAGGTATCAGTTACTGCTTTAATATTTTAGACCTACTTTTCTATAATGTGTTAAGAAGTTAGACAATAAAAGAGAAGCAGTGAGCACGTGAGACCTATTCAAATACAGATTATATTGTCAGCTGAAGTGTTTGACACTTGATCTGGATTGTGTGATTCGAAGATGCAAAAATATGAACAGAAACGTAGGATAAGGAAACAATTAGAAACATTCCAGAGCCATATCACAGCAGGCTGCTACATCGCAGACTAGTTGCCATTTTGGAGTAAAATAAAGTAAAGATTTACTTTCAAGTCATTGCACCAGGGCAATCTCCGGTACAAAAATATTGATTATGTACAGAAACTTTTTGTGTAGATACATTTCTTAGACCAAACAGTGTGAAAGGAAAAATCCGGACTTTGAGCTAAGGCGCGCATGCTAATAAATGAGCAGAGCATGGTTATAATGGGAGGTAACCGGTAAAACGGGCCACAGCATCTCGGAACGATTCTATTGAAAATAACCAACAAGAAAGGTTGAGTAGAAGATTGAGAAAGGTTGAAGAGAGTAGGAGAAAGGTTGAGTAGAAGATTTCGAGAAGTAAATTCATCAAAGAATGCAGCTAGGACCTCTGCGTTGTTCTTTATAGTGCAAATTAAAGTTACTGAATAGTCTTAGTTATACTTTAACTTCTTAGGAATCTTTAAAGGAAAAGAGAGACAGGGTTTACAATAGAGATGGAATTTTCTCTGTTTTCTTCAGTTTCCAATTCTGGTTCAATCCATCATGTCATGTGAGGCGCTCACACGCTTGCACGCATGCGTGTCTAAGAAAAAAAAGGAGGGAAAATAGGGAAATGTTGGTTAATCTTTCTACCAAAACGGTACATAGAGGTCAGTCATCAGAAATACTGTATATACATATACACACATTCAGGATAACAAAATAAATGATAGCATGGGCATACAGCTGAGGAACCGGGGAAAAGAGGGCGGTTTAGACATGTAGAGGTGGTTTTGCAACACGGTTTATGCAAATACCGGGAATGGGGAATTTAGAGATAAAAGGCACGAAAGCATGAGTAGGAGTGAAGTTATGGAGACACCTCTGGGCTTTCAAAAATGAGCTAAGGTAATTCGAGAGTGATACTGTGGGGCCATGGAGCCTCTGCTTTTTTTATTGATAGCACAGCAGCCATGCACTGGATGGCTCTGGTGCCTAGAGCCTATGGGTGCGTGCGTGCGTGCGTGCGCGCGCGCGCGCGCGCGTGTGTGTGTGTGTGTGTGTGTGCGCGCGCCCACAACGAAGTCTTCCGCACATTAGTGGCAGAGCCCGACACCTCCTCTCCTATACTCCGGCCCGCACAGGGCGATGGAGCGGGCCCGCAGCCTGCCTGCTAATTCCACGCCACGAAGGGGTCCTAGACGTGTTTCTTTCCACTCGTCCCGTGTTCACTGCAACTTGTTAGTCAAGTTTCTTCTGTGCGTGAGTGTGTGCGCGTGTTATGCGTGTGTGCGCGTGTGTGCCTGCATATGTAGGTGTGTGTATGTCTGTTGTGTGTGCACGTGTCTTACGTGTGTGTCTGCATGTGTAGGTGTGTGCATGTGTGTTGTGTGGGTGTGCGCGTGGGTGTGCACCTGTCGCGCATGTATGGGTGTGCGCACGTGTGTTGTGCGTGTGTGTCTGCGTGTGCGTGCATGCGTACTGTGCGTGCCTTTGTTGTGTTTGCGTGTGGGTGTGTCCATGTGTGTTGGGTACGTGCATGGGTATATGTCGTGTTCGTGCGCGGAGGTGTGCGTATGGGTGTGTGCACGGGTGTGTACGTGTGTGTTCTCTGCGTGTGCCAAGCTAACAGGCGTTGCTGGAGGCAGAGGCCCGCGTTGGCAGGGCTCAGGGGTGCGGGTGCGGGCCGGGGTCCCGGCTCCCCCTCAAAGTGTCTTTTGTGTCCCCGTCCCCGCAGGTGGGTCCCGCGGCAGCGAGCGGCCGGCGCCGGACACGTGAGGCGGCCGCAGTCAATGTTATTTGAGCGGGGCGCCCCGGCCTCGGCGATCCCAGAGCGCGACATGCAGAAAGCCGCCTACTACGACAACGCGGGGCTCTTCGGGGGCTACAGCTACGGCAAAGCCGACGCCTACTGCTAAAAACACGCAGC